ACTTTGGCTGTTGAACAGCCAAACCAAAACTCATAAAGTAGACAGTGCTGTACATGGTCTTCAAGATTATCTGTGTTTTGCAATATACAGAAACTGTAATGCAAAAATTTTAATTTTTAAGAATGTTTATAGTCAGATTATGATAACTTCTTGTAGCTTCCAGAGCATTCTAGAAATTTATTAGAAAAAGCACTTATTATGATTTAGCCAACTCAATATTTGTTACTATTCGGAAATTCAAAACTCAATTCAATTTATTATTTTGTCAAAAAAATCTTTGGCACATCACACCAATGTTTGGCACATCACATTGATGTTTGGCATATCACACCAATGTTTGGCACATCACACCAATAAAAATTAAAGTTAAATAGATAAAGCTTTATTATTATCTTAAATGCAAGAAAACAATTAGCTAAAAGAAAAGAAATTCTGTTTTCATTTCAATTTCTATTTCAATCACAATCTGTCTAATTTATCTTTGATATTTTGGTTTCTTTGTTAGTTGTTGTTTTTGTTTGTTTTTTCATAACCAAAAACAAATTTTAACTAAATTTATTTAAGGATGACAGAATTAAATTCTTAAAGGTTAAATTAAAATTCATTTATCTCAAAATATTTTACTCTGTCAAATATGGGGTTAACTAAACAGCAAAAATTTTTAAATAACTTTCCAGCTTATTTTATCAATGATTGCCTCGACTAATTTTTTTTCCTAAGACATTCTTATAATAAGAGATGATTTTCATAAAAAATACCACATTTATAACTATTGATGTTATAGAAACAAACTTTGTTCTTAAAAATAAAAAAATGCTTAAATTCAAAATTTTTTCTATTCTTTTAAGTTTATGTTAAATTTATTTTTAATTTTCACTTTGCTATTAATGTTTTTTTTATTTACAAGAAAAGTCTTGTCACTTAAACCAACAAAAAATAAAACCTAATTGTTGTTATTGATAAAAAATTTTATTGATTGCCCTGCGCTTCTCTTCTATATTGGAAAAAAAAGACAAAATTTTTTGCTAAATTATCAAAAACTTGACTTTTTCTAAAAGCTGAAAAGGTAAACTAAAAGTATATATATGTGAAGGTAATGCGATTTTTTTTAGGAGGTACTTAAAGGTACCATCGGTAAACAAAGGGATATATATTATCAACATTTCTATTGAATTGAAACAATTACCAATAGATTGAAAAACAGCTAAGGTTCAAAAACTTTTCTGTATAATCAAAAATTCAAAAAACTCTTTTCTGTATAATCAAAAATTTCTAAAATTCTTGAAACTGAAATAAAATCTTAACACCTAGATTAGCTAAATTTTGATGAAAAAAAAAATAGTTTAGTTTTAGAAAGTATAGATCCATAGAAAATATTGATAGAGTAACAGCTACTTTTTCTTACATATGATCAATAAATGGAAAAAAATTCAAAATATTTTACTCAAAAACTAACAGTACATGGCATTGAAAGCGTTGAATTAGAGTTTTTAAAGATTATTTATTACCGTCTTGTTAAGTACCACGTTAAACTATCTTATACATTGTAGATAACCTGTTTCTGTGGAATTCCTCAAAATTACTACTAATAATTTAACAAATATTTAATATGCTAGTTAACTAATTATAATTATAATTATGCTGCTAATTTAACAATTTTAATAAATGTTCAACATGCAGCAATGACATAAAATTCACAGACAAAAAAAGTATACAAAATACTATGCAAGCAACAAGTTTTGTTTATTTCAGAAAAGTATTAAAAAGAGGCTTACATTCATTTATAATTTACAATTACAATTAATTTAAATATTTTTTTATCATTCAATTATAAAACTAATTTACAAATCAATTTTATAATTGAATGGTAAAAAAACATAGCCTATACTATAAGGCCTATATGCATCATTTGCTAACAATGCATTTATGCCTTCATACACCTTAGATAACAACTCCTGACACCTATGGTCAGAAAATGTTCATAAATTTTATAGTAAAACTAATAATAAAATTAAATATATATATATATATATATATATATATATATATATATATATATATATATATATATATGTATATATATATATATATATATATATATATATATATATATATATATATATATATATATATATATACATGTATATATATATATATGCATATATATATATATATATATATATATATATATATATATATATATATATATATATATCTATATATATATATATATATATATATATATATCAGGCTTGGTCGGGAAGCGGGAGCGATCGCTCTCGAATACTGACCACGGAAATTATATTTAGTTGCGAAAAACTGGCCAGGTTTTTTAGTCGTTTTGAGAACATTTAAGTTTATTTACGAAACAAAAGATTTTTATTTTACGGACATACATGGAAACATGTATGTCTGTAAAACAAAAAACTTAAATGTTCTCAAAACATCTTGGTGCGAAAGAATAAAAAGAATATTCGCGAACACTAAAATCCTGCCAAATTAAGGAACAAACTAATTCTATTGGTTCAAAAAGTACGCTGACTAAGCGAAATAAAATTTTGGAGCATTTTGTTGAAATGTTTTAGAAATTATATTATTCACGATTTGTTACGTTTTCAGATTTCTAGCATAAATCGTTTTAAGAATATATATTATTTGTTTACAAAAATAAATGTTTTAAATATATATTAATTAAAATTTTAAAAGTTTATTAAAAATTATATATTTTATTAGTACATTTTTTTTTTTTAATTTAAAAAGTATGTATTCTTTAAGTAAATGTAAATTTGTTGATCTTTTTTTTTATTGTAAAGTATCTTTTAAAGCAATTTTTATGATTTAAACAAAGACTTACAAAAATAATTGCGTTTTCAATAAAGTTATAATCGTTAAAGTTAATGAAACTAATCATGTAACACATATAAAAAGTCTCTGGTTACTAAACACAAACAACGCATACAAAGTAACTCGCGGATGAACAAGCACCGCGCCTGAGGTCACAACAGAACACAAATATATATAGCAAATAATTAGATATAAAGAAAAGTTTCTAGATATTGGTTTACTAACTCTAATTATTTTCGCTTCATTTGCCATTCTTAAAAACTCGTTACACTTTTTTCTGCTTTAATTACCAATTAAAAAGCCCACTCATGAAAGATCGTCAGCGATATTGTGAAGCAGTTTCGCTTCCTGGTCATTAAGTATTTTTGACCTTTTTAGTTGATTTCTATTTTGTTAATTTAATGTCTATAGTAATTCAATGATTTAATTATTTCATTTGTTTATCTTACTAAGAAGAATTGCTTCAAATATGTTAAACTTTTCAAACTACGCGAAACATAAAATAGGTATTAATAAAAATTAGCTTTTTTATTTTTATTTTTATTAATTTTTTATTTTTATTTAGCTTAAATAAAACTAAAACTTGCAAACTTTGTTTAATAAAAAATATTTGTTTCCTTTTTAAACAATCGTAAGATGTTACTTTACATAAAAAACATCGCTTAATTTTATAAAAATTTTTTTGTAATTGTCTCTCATTGGTCCAATTAATCTTCAGCGTTTTTTTTTTTTTTTGCTTGTTAAAATGTTCTCAAAACGACTAAAAAATCTGGCCAGCTTTTCGCAACTAAATACTATTTACGTGGTCAGCAATCGAGAGCGATCGCTCCCGCTTTCCGACCAAGCCTGATATATATATATATATATATATATATATATATATATATATATATATATATATATATATATATATATTAAATATAAAAAAATGTGTAAATATTTTCAATTTCATATTTTTTTATATTATGTTCTTACATTTTTTTTAATACAGAAATTTATATTCTGTTAAACAATTTATTTATTAAAATAAGTAACAAATTTCATTTTTTACACTATTATTTTTTTAAATATATTTTTATTTTTATACACTATCAACTGAAATTTTTTTTTTAACTATTAGCTTTTTATTATTAAGTCTAATGTTTGAACATTTGAAATAAATGTCAGTAATATAAGTTATATAATGGAATCTTAAATGACTGCACACTTTTTTTATTTGAAATGCTGCTTTCTGTTTGAAAAATACAACCTAAGAATCATAAAAAGGAATTTTTTGATAGTGCAGTATTAGGCAATAACAAAATACTTATAATATGTTGACTTCGTCAGTTTGTTGTTAGAGAAAATAATTAAAAAAATGGTGGTTAAAATAAAAAAAAAGATACTTTTAACTTCTAAGTGGTAAATATTTACAAAGTTTTAATTTCTAAGCAATTTCAAAAGATTTTCTTAATAAAAGTTTAAATATAAATTAAAAATTAAAAATAAAACAATTTTTAGGGCACATTCAAATCAAATTCAAAATACATAAAACAATATTTGTTTATGAATAGTTTTAAAAAATAACAAGTTTTTTGTCACTTTAAATATCTTTAATACTCTTGAATCCGAGTAGAGCTAATTCTCAAAAAATCCAAAAATAGTTCTGCATAAAACCTTTGGATAATATAATATCGTCTATTTTTTAAAAATTAATTAAAATATAATTTCAAATAGAAATTTTTTTGATTTGATTTCTTACATATAACATATAATTTCAAATAAAATGTTAATTTATTTTTAACACATATTTTTTTTTGCCCAATAAAGTTAACTTTATTGAGAGAAAAAAAAAAGATATTTTAAAAAAGTACATTTTAAAACTCACTAATAAGATCTGTGATCCATTTTTTTTCTTGATAGTATTGCATCATAGCAGACACACTATTCAAAAATACCAACAGAAGTACAAGCCAGTACACAAAGTTAGATAACATAATTGTTTTCAACTTTGCTCGAACAACATTGTTATGAGCAAGAAATAGTTTTAAACCCTTAAGTCTAGAAAAAAAAACTCATTCTAAATATATATTTATTCTGTTACCTTCAGGTAAACAAATTCTTTATCTATTTATTACGTTACCTTACCTCAGGTAAACATATCTTTTGATATCATT